CCCACCATACTATAGGTTGTACTAGAAGTAACTCTAACACACCAAGCAGAAGTATAAGATATAGCAAATGCTGATATTCCTGAAAAACACATAGCCGTTATGAGGGTCCTTCTGATTTCAGTGGGACTAGTAGGTAGATTATATAATTAATATATCGTGACCAAATTTTCAACTTAAAACCTTTGAATCTGGATGTTTCTTAAAATGCTTACAAATTTTTTTCAAGATTGCTAGAGCTCCAGTCCTCAATTACAAGACTCATTATTACCAACAAAGGTATTGATAATATATTATTATAATATACCGTATCAAAATCTTTGAAACCCGTGGATCGAATACGCTTCCTCATGGTTAAGACAAAAGCAGCAGAAGAAAAACAATTGATACACATCCATATGTAACCGGTATTCAGTGAAGCCGTAGATGATTCGGTAAATGCACTGCTAACATCAGTCCATGCTGCTATAATAGACGATAAAACCTGAGTACAAATAAATCGAATGAAAATTAGTACGATAAATATCTATAAACTCCATTCACGAAGGAAATGACGTCCAAATACCATTAACAAAAAACTGGACACTGTCAATTTTGTTATAGATCCACCAAACCATAGCACTTCGCCATATGCAATAAGAATAATTGTCAAATTTTTAAAAATTGTGTAAACAGGAATTGAGAGATATTGCAAACTATATTGAGATTAGAATTAATTTATAATTGAAGAAAAAGAACATACTAATTACAAGTTACCTTTTGCTTCCTGTGTAGATCATAGCAACAAGAAGAATGGCGATTATATACCCTGTAAAAGGTCTTAAAAGTTTAATAAAAAATCCAGCTAAGGAAACCACAACTACTCAAGAGATGACCACTAACATTTCTTGGATATTGAGAAATCAAGTTCCCGATAAGTGACAAGGTTGAGCATTTTGAAAACTTGAAGAAGCGCCACGCATACAATCGACTAATATAAACCATGTTTGATGAAAACGTACTTTTTAAT